CCTTGCTCCCTTTGCTGGGGCCTCCCCAGGGACAGCCAGGGTCAGACCAGTCAGGGAACAGGCTCCTGCTGGTTGATGGCTCCACCTCCCCCTCAGCCAAGCCTGCCTGATCCAGAGGCAGGAGGGGAGGGCTCCGCCCCTTTCCCAGGAACAGCAGAAACAGAAGGTTGAAGTGGAGGGGTAGTGTCATGGCCAAGATGCCAGCAGGACCCTCCCCAGGCCCCCAAGAGGAAATTCTCAGGGAATGAGGAGAGAGGGGCCCTCACCTTCTTCCCCCGTGTACTTCCAGGCAGGCCTGCACCCACCGGCTCAAGGTACCCACAGGGAGTGGCCGAGAGAGGCTCTGCGGCCAGGACACCTGGGTTTTGTCCCCGACCATCATCGCCTGTGTCCCACTGGGCAATTGCCTAACTCTTGGAGCCTCACTGTCCTCATCTGTAAAATAGGGGGAAAAATGCCACCTTGTCCCGTTGTTTAAGAAAAAGGCCTCAGCAGAGCTGCCTCCCGGTAGGCCTAGCATCTGGGGTATCTCCTCAGTCCTGGGCAAGACCCGGCTGCGACCCGCTGCTCCTACCGGGGCCCCTTCCAGCGGAGCGAAAGGCCGCGACCGAGCCGGACGGCAGGGCCGTGGAGACCCGCGGCCGCGGCGCACGCCTGCCACCTGGCGGCGACTGCTGGCCTCGCCCCGCCGTCCCCCCGCGTCCCCGCATCCCGACCTGGGGACGCCCGACATGGGCCGGGTCTGCATGGGCACAAGGTCGTTTTCCCAGCAGGTGTGAAAATTTCACTGCCCCTGGGTCTGGGCTGTTTCAGGGCCGGAATGGAGGTCCTGGATGGTGGAATTAGCCCTTAGCGGGTGGGGTCGTGCTCCTGTTGCAAAAAAAACCGAAATGTAGGCCTGGAGGGCGACGACAGAAATCCCGGTAGTGTCTCTGGTGCGTGGATTCAAGCGAAGTATTTATTCTCTTTCCACACCTGCTTTATCTCCATTTTCCATACTGGTATGTATTATTTTGTGGTAAGAAAAAAACTAGAAGCATTTTTAAAAACAAAACAAAAACACATGGCGAGGGAAGGAGGGGTCTATCCATCAAGGAATTCAGGAAGTTTTCGGTCTAGTATCTATATTTGTATGAATCCTCCGTGGTTCTCTGAAAGAAATGGAGACTAGGCACTGGGGGTGACGATCTTCCTTCACATACGCTGGAATTAACGGGAAGGGAGGAAAGGAGGGAAGGAGGGAGGGAGGGAAGGTGTCTCCGACCTCAGGATAGGGTGGGGTAAATGCTCCAAATGTACCAAAAACTCTTGAGGGGGGGGGTTGAATCCTGGCTCAGTCACTGTCTCCTGCCAGCTCTGATTATGCCCTGGGGCTGACTCAGGGAGATATTTTGAGGACAGGCTTTATTTCAGAAAGGGACAGTTAAAATGCCAGCATTTACTAAGAACCTACTAAGTGCTGTGAGCCAGCAGTACAGCCACGAGGCCATCCTACCCTTAAGGAGCTCTGGACTTATCTATAGGAAAGTTCCTCAGAACTGAAGTGGCAGCACGAAGCCTCACCCCACTGGTGTTGAGATGGAATCAGCAAGAACATTAGCTGTGGCTGTGGGAGCAGAGCCACTGGGTGAGGCCAAGGGAGGTAGAGCAGAGAAAGTTGTGGCCACCTCAGCAGAAAGGCTATCACAGCCACCAAGGAAGCCGCGGGTTCCCAGGGAAAGCAGAGGCTGAGGATCAGGGGCATCTTCTGGAAAGCAATGTGCCAGGCCTTTGAGGTCCACTTCACAGCCTGGTTGGGGACCCTCCAAAAGGCTGGTGTCACAGGGAGGTGGGAACCTTGCCTTCCCCCTGATGTCATTTGTTCACTCAGCCATTCAAGCGCTGGCTAAGCACCTGCCTCGGCAGCACACCTCAGAAGCGACACCTGCCTGTGGGAGCACGGAGAGCACCCAGTGCTTCCCAAACCTGCCAGGGGGCCTTGCACATGACCTACCTCAATCACCTGCAAGATTTTCTCAGAACTTGGCAGTCCATCTGCAAACTCCCATTTATGGCCTGGCCCAGCCAAGATAGAAAGCCCCCCAAACCCATGACTTTTCAAAGAAAATTCACCAGGAAGAAACCTCAGAGGGAAGCGTGTCTCTGTGGTGTAGAGATTCCCTCATCTGGGGGGCACAGATGACCACTGTGCCTCCAGAAGCAACCACCCTCAGAAGGACCTTACCTGTGTGGTGGTCCCTCTGGGGATGCAGATTCCAAATCAAACTCAAGGGGACACAGTACCATGAGTAGAACCCAGGTCTGTGTCCCTCTGAAATTGAGGCTCCTTTCCAACTCAGTGCTTTTGAAGGCCAAGCTGACCACTTAGTCTCAGGCTATGAGAGTAGCCTCTCTAGAAAGAAGCCATTCCCTCTGTCCCATTAGCCACCTTCCAGCCAATTTGCTGTGAGTAGTTCAGGGGACCCAAGGAAGAACTCTTCCACCTCTATGCCTTTCTGGCCACCCTGTGAACTACTTCAGATGCAAATGTCCTCCAAACGGGAACAGAGGCTCCCTTAGGTAGCACTGCACAGTAAGCTGCTCACACCAGGACAGGCAGGGGGCTGGGTTTCCGAGGGGAGAGGGGAGAGGCGGTAGCAGTCCTGGCACCCCCGAAACCAGCCTGTGGGCTTACAGGGCATCTTCCCAGGGGAGCTGGCTCAGGGTGGTCCTGGCCAACCCATCAGGAGGTGTGGATACTCTAACAGAAAAGGGAAAACATAGGAAGTGGGGCCCAGGAAAACATGCCCCTGGAGATCCAGCGTGGGCCGCAGGTCAGAGAGTGTTGGCCGAGGGGAAGAGGCATGGTGACATGGGAAAGGAAATGAGGGATTCAGCTGGGAAGGAGGGGGCAGGCTGCCAGGTTCCAGGGCTGAACAGAATGGGGGTAGCTAGACAAACCTTCCCTCTCCCCACCCCTCACCCCCCTCATCTGGGCCCAGAGGGGTTGAGGGGGTGGACATAAACGGGGAGAAGGCCTGCATTCCTGTGGGTGCACAACCCTAAGAAACAGTATGCTGTGTGTACGTGGTGGAGACAGAAAAGGAATCTGAGGCTAGTCCTGGTTGGAATTTAGTGTCCACCACAGATTTACCCACTACCCAGGGCCAAAGACTCATCAACCTCAGAAAGGTCAATGGAAGCTGAACACAGGCCTAGAAGGGGTCAGGCCCTCCCCTCTAGAGAGGGCGTACAACGAGCTGGGAGATGGGGGACAGACACACCGAGATAAACATATCTGATGTACAAGTGGGTTTAAAGGCCCGAGAGGAAGCGGGTGGTACAATAAAGCACATCCTAGAAGAGAGGCAGGAGTTCCAGTGTGGATTTGGCTTCTCTGCAAAGTGAGGGCTTTGACTGCTGACCTTGAGAGGCTCGCTCAATCTAGCTTCTTGGGGCTCTATGGTCACAAGCAGTAAACTGCACTGACCTTGAATATAAAGTTGATACCTTCCTTCACTTGTGTCACTACTACCCATTTCCAACATCCTGGAATGTTCACATGCCTTCTTCCAACTAACAGCATCCCTCCCACCCTCAGGTGATGGCAACCCTGGCTTTGAAATCCACAGATCAGCTTTGCTGGTTCTGGAAATTAATATAAATGGAATCACAGAGTCTATGTTCCCTGTGTCGGGCCTCTCTGTTCATCATGATGTCTATGAGATTCATCCCTGCTGCTGCATCTCTCAGTGAGGTTAGCTTAACTGAATTACAGTATCCTTTGTCTGACTAGATCAGTGATGGGCATTTGGTTTATTTCTAGTTTGGGACCATCCTAAACAAAACTGTTGTGAATCTCCCTATAGGGTCTTTTGGTGGCCCCATGCCTCATTTCTTCCAGGAGTGGAACCACCAGCCCATGGGGTAGGTGGTCTTTAGTTTGAGTAGATGCTCCCAAAGTTGAGAGGTGACTTTTACAGATCTCAAAATGAGTATATAAAGAAGGAAGTAGAGGGGGAAAGAGAGGAAAGAAAGAAACAGATATACCTTAAACTATTCCCAAAACAGATTCTTTCAATAAATTTTGAGCACCTCCCTACGAACTGGTCAAAGCCAGGCAGCACCTCCTCCCCACTTCATGTGGCCTGACATTAAGTAGATCATCACTCCACCAGGGCAGCGGCACCTTGTTGGCTCTCCTGTGAGGGCAAGACAAGGATTTGCCAAGTGTAACAGGCGCTGATGCTCCAAACTCCACGTCACCAGATGGGCAATAAATCTGAACACTCCTGCCTCACCAGCTGCTGAATGGTTCTGACATGTTAGCCACTCATGAGAAGAAATCAAGATCATGGCAATTTTAACATTTCATGCCTCAGCATCCTGTATCACAGAAAGACTTTAAAACATCCAAAGCAATTCCCTCTAGCTCTATGTTGAAAAGGCATGAAGAGTTTCTGAAGCACAATACCCACACCAGGTGTGCCAAAGCTCCCACCCTCTGCAGTCAGCAGCCAGAGCAAAGAGCTGCTCTCCTGCAAGTGCACCCCACTCACACCAGAGAGGTCAACTCCTGGGATTCTTAAAGGGCAACCCCGACTCCAAGAGCCTATTGTGTTCTGGAATAGAATTTGCCTTTCTGTAGAGAAGGTTCTCTCAACCTAGGCACTCTTGCAATCTTAGGCCAGACAATTCTCTGTTACAGGGGCTGCCCTGTGAATTGTAGGGTGTTTGGCAGCATCTCTGGCCTCTACCCACTAAATGCCAGTAACACTCCCACTTGTGACAACCAAAAATGTCTCCAGACATTGCCAAATGTCCCCTGGAAGGCAAAACTGTACCGTACTGAGAACCACTGCAGTAGAGAAAGAAGTTTTAAAAAACACCAACCAGCATGTTCTCACCCTTTTGAACAGAAAGATCAGCTTTCCAAGACACAGTCAAGCTGGACTGAGTGGGCTTGCTTAGTCCACAATAGGAGTTTTTATCTTGTCAACCATGTAGAACCAAAACAAAAAAAAACCAACAATGTTTACTCTGGTTAAACTGAAAAACTGAAAGGCATAAAAAGAAAGTTCCAGAAAACAGAGGTAAGAGAATCTGAGGTAACAGTCACAATGGGGGAGAAATTATCTTTGTAAGTTCCTGTTTGTGAGCTAACATATCTGCCATGGTTTCCCACATTAGTGACTCAAACACCACACATGAGACCATAGCTAACCTCACTGCCAGCACGGTTTGGGGATCTAAACTCCAAACCAATGTTTTCAGGAAGTGTCCCTAAATCCAAGTCCAACCCGTTTTAGGAAAATACACACACATACATATAACCCTATCCTACGGTTCTATTAAATCAGACTCCTTAAAATGCATGTTGTTCTGGCTTTTTTTTTTCTTACTAAGTTCAATTTACTAAAAGAAAAAAATTTAATACATCTTAGAAAATTATCAAAAAATTAAGAAAGTTCAGCATATTACAATATATAATATTTAGGCAAGAATATTTGAAAATTATAAATATTTGTTCCCTCTCAACATAGCACATCACAAAAATACAGTTTTAACTTTTTTCATGCATAATTCCTATAAATGATCATATCTTATTTATTAAAGAAAAGGCCTGATTCTGACAAGCATTCACACGCTTCTGAAATTTTCTGTACAGTAACTACAAAAGTAAAAGCAAGGGTCTGTCAGCACTTTGACCATTGAAACCATTTTAAATATTAGGAGGAATTCAGTTAGTATGAAAATACTCCAAATGGGATTTACTTAGTTAATCTCTGTGCTGTGATTTGTAAGTATCTATCTTAGCCAAAGCATTGTTTAAAGGGGTTTTGCCTCCTTGAGAGTGTGCCCCTGGGGCCAGGACGAAAGTCAGTACCACTGAAGTAAACAGAAACCTTCTGCGCGGCCGGACACCATGGCTGTACCCGCCAAGTCAAGCCAAGGCCTGCGTGCAGCCGGCGAGGTCTCCAGCCGAGCAGCGGCAGCCAAGGGTGCGCCACCGTCAGCAGGCGTGCACCAGCAAGCGGGCTGGCCGAGCCAGTTCAGAAACCTATACCCAGAGAAGGAAGCATGCTGCGGAGGGCCTGACGGACCCCAGTCCACAGAGGCGCTGATTTCCCAGTGATCCCGAGCACTCCCCATTCTCCCGGCGCTGCAGACGACAGTGCTGTTTGCACACAGCCTCGTCCAACAGGACTGGGAGAGCTATAAGGGAATATTCAGAAGCTGAAGTATTCAAAGAAAAAGGAAATAAAGAGCTTGGCAATCTGGTCTGTTTTCTTCTTTCCAGGTAAGCCCTTATCTACAGGAAGAGAAAGAAGGCGTCTTAATCTATAGACCCAGCAGGAGGCGCCGAGGGAAGAAGAATTAAAAGAGGTGAAGCCCGTCCTTTTGCCTTTCCAGCCACACGGGAATCTCCGAAAGCGCCCGTCACTCTGTGCTCTTTTTCTCCTTCCAGTTTTTCTCTCTCTCTTCCAGTTCCGCTTGGGTGAAAGCTGCAGGGCCCCAGTTAGTGATCAGGTGAGGGTTTTTTGCACCTAAGAGACAAACGTGCATTAAATATATATTCGTCAATTAACATTCTCATTTTTCCACAGAATAGTAACCTCTTCATTTCTTCTCTGAGGAACATCCAATAACATCATACCAGTCAAAACAGCCAGAGGTATATAACAAAGGGTATTAACTGGGCCTTCTTATCAGAGAGCAAATTATTCAAGAGACATTTAACCCTAACCGGCTTGGTTTCTGTGCATCTGGGATTTTTAGCACAATTCAAATACATAATTAAGACAGAAAAACTGAGTAAGTTATCTGATTATTTCAGAGTGTTACCTGGTTCTATTAATCGAATTAGTCCTTCATGCTGTGCAACTTTGTCTTTCCAGCTCTTGGTCATATTAGTTGCCATCTCAAGCTTCTTTTTAACTCCCTGGAACAAAAGCAGATTTTGGACTATGCAAACACATGGGTAGTTTAAGAGCTTGATAACAATGATTGGGCACTTACTATATGCTTGTGGATTATCTCATTCAATCTTCACAGCCACTCTAAGAAGTAGGAACTATTATTACCCCCATTATACAAATGTGGAGACTAAGATTCAGAGCAGGTAAGTACCCTACCTGAGGCCACACAGAAGATCTAATTCACACTCACTACAGATGAACATATGAGGTCCTGTGTCCCAGTAATGGCTCACTGCCTGTCAGCTCCACATCTAAGCTTCACTGTTCTACTTGTGACTAACATAATTCTCCTCTGCCAGCTGGCACCGCTTAAGCTTTGTCAGTAGAGGGGGCTGAAGGGCCACTGGAGAAGGAAGGAGCTTTGCTTCCAGTCTCCACTGCACTCTTCTCAGCAGCTCCTGTGGCACAGGGGACATCCACAGTGCTCAACCTGGAGGGTTTTAGGGGCACCTCTGGGTAGTCCATGCACCAGTGCCCCAGAGCCTGGCTTCCCAATCCCAGCACCCCACTGAGCTTGTCTGCCAACCAACAGGGCAAGGCTATGCCCTCTCCAAAGAAGTCTGGATCATTGCTCTGGGGTTACCGGGCAAGGAGCAAGTGTATCCTCCCAAATGTGTTCCTCCCCTGGGGACTCTGCCTCAGACTCAGAGACAATGGCTGCTGCCGGCATCTGCCATTCCCTGTATTCCCAGAATTTTCTTTACTGCTTAGTAGGTAATCCCCTGTTTAATTAATAATTGTTTATATTAAACTTTCCCTGTTCAAATTACTGTGTGGTTTCTGTCTCCTGACTGCACTCTAATATGCCTCATCACCTATAAAAACTTCTTTTTACCTAGAGCCAAGAAAAATCCTTACTAATAGCTTCTGACAGCTAAGCAAATATTGTTATTTTTAAATGTTTTTAAAATTTTAAATACATGTATGCAATGGTAAATTTAATTACCTCATACTGCTCAAGCGCTTGCTTCCGCTCTAACTCGAGCTGCTCCAGCTGTTTCATGGCTACCTGAAGGGCCTGTTCTTTCATAACGCGCTGGTTCTCCAGCTCCTGCTTCTCTGCTTTGGTTGTCTGAATGGCCTGCTGCTGCTCCAAGTGCCACTTTTCCAGTTCAGCCCTCTTGGAAGACTCCTCCTCCAACAACCTGCAATGTGGAGAGCTCGGGGTCCAACCTGCCTGGGTCACCAGACCTGACCCAGCAGATGATGGAGGCACTTCAGCAGCAGAGGAGATCTGGGGTCATCTCATCCACCTCTCACATTTTACTGGAGGAAGCTGGAGCCAGAGGAGCCCATCTTCACAAAGCTGGCAAGGGGACCCGTGTGTCCTGCTCTAAGCTCTGTTTCACTCTTGTCAAAATAAATATATAAATAAATATAACATTTATGGAGGGTGCCCTGACTGGGCCAAGAGCTAAGTGTACTTTCTCAATCCTCACAATAAACTTAAGTACTATTATTATTCCTATTTTAGAGCTGAAGAAAGTGAGGCATAAAGGTTAAGTGCCCTGTCCTAGGTCATTCACCTGGATGGAAAGGGCCAGGATTTGAAATTTGCCTGGTTGCTACATTAAAATATTTTTCATCTAGTAAATGCCTACTGTCAAGAAAAAGTTGGCAAACTAATGAATGTGAGAGAAGAAGGAGCTAGTAAGAGGTGGAATAAAAGTAGGTACCATTGAACAATCAGGACATGTCAGGTACTTGACCTTCATCACTGCTAACCCCCAGAAATTCTGCAAGCTGATGTTAGCCCTGCAGATGACACAATCAAAACCCAAAGTGGATTTCAGCCCACATCTGTGTCTCCAAAACATTACCTTTTAGTAACAGGCTACCTATCTGAGAATATCCAACTATGTAGCTATTTAAATAAACAAACTAACATACAGCCCAAGCCAGGATCCACAGTGTAGATTAGGGGGTTAGGTGCCAGCCCAGGACAGGGCATATATCTAGCAGTTTAACCATCAGTAAGATGCAAACGAGCCACAAGGTAGGCCAGTTACTACTACCAAAGAGCAATGGCTCTTCTAAAACCAACAGCAAAGGGAAGTAAAGTTTAACAGACTATACAGTCCTTACCTGACCCACCTCCTCCATCCCTAACCCCTCTTATGTAAGAATTCCCTCTACAGCATCCTGTAGTTTTCCAGCTCTGCTCAAATAACATGTGGCAGGCCACTCACTGCTTCACAAATCAGGCCAGTTTATTTATGCGCAGTCTCCATCCTTAGAAGGTTCTTCCTCAGCTACAATGACCTCTCCCACCCACCAGACCTAGTTCCCTTCCCCAAAGGACTGGTCTGCTCCCTCCTCAGGTGTCTCTCGGAGTGCAATCCACAACCAAACACAACACAGCACATGTAGTCTGACCAGAGCAGTTTATTCACTCACTGGGCATGTCTGTATTGCACACCTTCAGTGTGCTTTTCCAGGCACTGGGGCTACAGTAGTGAATGAGATAGGAAGGGCCTCTGTTTCTTCATCCTAGTGGTGAAAGTATGGAAGGGAAACGGACATGTGCAGGTGTTTAGGCTGCCCAGCATCTGACTCCCCTTCGTATGTCCAGGGAACCTGCCACAGTAGGCATCTTGATAGAAAATAGGACCCACTTCCCATGACAGAAGGCACAGGACAGACACCTGCTCTCCCACCCTTTGGCAGTCAGGGCCTGGTAAACATCCAAGCTGTACTTGGCTAAGTAGATGCCCCTCCAGGAACTTTGACTCTGAAGCAACTGACACACAGGACTAGAGACAGTGGAGAATTTATCTTGCTGGTAGCAGCAATATCCAGTGTTGGGTGACAGCAGGAACAATGGTGACTACCGACACATGGTGCCAATGTTGGCATCAGTGGCACCCTCACTGGACCCTTCCCATGGCCTGGTTTGGGCTGCTCAACCTCCCTTCATTCATGCTTGTGTTTCAGGCCTGGCCACCTGCCTTTCTGTGGAATTGGTTCTTTCTACTCAAGAACTTTTTGATAAATTATTTTATTTAGCTAACCTAAGTTGGTTTCTGTGGTTTCCAAATCAGACCCCTGATGGAACCTTTCTGTGCCTCAGTTTTCTCATTTACAAAAAAAGGCATGGGAACTATATCTACCATCAAAGGTCTGCTGGTGCATTAACTGTGACGATGTATGTAAGGTATTTAGAACACTGCCTGTCACATTATAAGTGCTGAATAAATATCAGCTCATATTATTACAGTGAGACTATTGCCTAATTTGCTCAGGATACTGCATATTCATTAAGGCTGCGTGAGAGTATATAAGGTTTTGGCAATCATATCACAGGGAAGTGAAACCCTGAATCTTTTCAAATGAATTGCTATTAAGCCAAGTCTCCTGGATCCTGTACTTGTGCTGCTGATATTTTAAACTATCTTCTTGGTCTAAAACCATCATTCCAGCCTGTCAGTATCTTTTTGAATGTTTCTTTTGACATTCCATACATTGCACATCTTCCTCACTTGCAAATGAGATAAAGGAATAAAAACCAACACAATCTGAGTGACTACCAAGTGGCACATGTCACACTTACAACTCTGCCTGCACGATCTCCTGTAACTGTCACAACAACCCTGCAAGGACGGCAATCATCCAGATTCCACAGAAAAGGAACTAAAGGCTCAAAGCAGTGAAGTGACTTTGCTACAATTACACAGCTAGAAAGTACCAGAGCTAGGAATTAAACCCTGACCTCACTCCAGAGGTCAGTTCCTAACTGTTTTTAAATACATGAAAACGTGGAAGACAGACTGTTGTTCACATGGCCCCAACAAGTATAGCTTGGAACCATTTATTCATTCAAAAACTATCCATTGAGCATTGACTGTGTGTGCCCAGTGCTGCACTAGCTGTCGGGCCAACAGACATGACTTAAGTGTGCTCCTAGGCCTCACAGTTCCAAACAAGCAAAGGGTAAGAGTTATAAGGGGACAAATTACAGCTCAGCCTCAAGAACTTTCCAATAATTGAGTTGTCCAAATGTTAAATGAACAATTTTCTTCTGGGTTCCCATTCAGAAGAAGCTAGATAACCAAGAGGATTACACATCAAAAAATAAACTTCAATTTTAATGAAAAAAAAATCTTAAGATTCAGAAGGCTCAAGTCAAAGTTCTTATATTTAAAAAATTTACTACAAAAAGTATCTCTAGGGAAATTAAGATGCTTACAAAGAAAAGATCATCCATAGGAAGAAAAACGAGAAGCCAAGTATTCCAAGAATAATGTGCTATTGTTTAAAGAAAAGATGGGAGGGTTACCTAAAAGCCTTTAGTATACCTGAGATTAGCCTGACATTATTTCCATTCATTAGTGTCAGACTTAGACGTGTCTTACCTAATTTCAAGATGACTTCCCTTGATTTTCTACCCAGAAAGGCCTATCCTGAGAAGGGGGAGCAAGGATAAAGCCCCCCTTTGCCAATCTGATAAAATGTCCCCCTGAATCAGGCCCAGACTTGTGTGACTTCGGGAAAAAGCTTAACTAACCTCACTTAAAAATGACCATTATCAGGGGCAAATGTGTTCGAGTTCCAAGAACTAAGATGAAAAATAATTCAGAAGAGTAAAATCCATAAAATGGCCTTTGCACACCAAGAAAAAGCTGACTTTTGCGCAGCAGTTTCAGCTGAGGCGAGCAGAGCTGCAGCAGCAGTGACATGTAGTGTCCCTCAGAATGCCTCCCTTTGGAAGTCACATGGGATGCAAACCTTCTCATGCAGTGGATCTGCTAACATCACTGGATGATAGGTCCAAGAATCTGGTTAACACCGCAGTACAGAATACTATTGTGGGATTTATAAATGCTAGACAATGTGCTAAGCATTTAATATTCTATGTAGAGGATAATTTTTTTCTTAATAGAATCAAATTTTCAAAACCTAATTTATTTTTTGTTATATTTGGCAAAGTATATAATAAAGGAACCTCTTTTTTTCTCTCTGTCTACGTACAGATTAAACAAACATCTTTTGCTGCTCCACATGTGGCAGCCACAGAAAATCTACCCCAGCTCATCCAACAGCTGCTCCCAAAAATGGGGTCATAGCTCAAAGCCTACGGCATACCTGCTTGGCCACCAGACTGCCCTAAACTAGATGCCAAGTATTCCAAGAATAATGGGGGAAATATATTTTAGTGTTGCATCTCTGATAAGACAAGAAAGCAAATGGGGTGCAAGTCAGGAACTGAAGAGGGCAGCTTGAATTTTCCCTTTGGGGTCTTCACTCTTTGTCTTCCTGCTACCGAGGCCAAGAACTGAGAGTTTTCATCAGAGATCTTGACTATCATAAATAGTAAACCTGACTTAAGAAGCTCTATGGAAAAAAAAGAATCTAGGTTTAAAGAATTTATAAAACTAAGACTTCAAAGTAATTATTTAGAAATGTTACCAGTCCTGAGTGACCAAATGGGAACTGCTTAGTTCCTCATTAAATTCCCAAAGTTGCTACACCTCTGGCCTGAAGCAGGCCCCCGCCTCCACCCAAGGGCTCTTTCTGGTCTGTTGAAAATGTCAGGTCTCACCAGAACTGATTCCTGGGCCCATGAACATGCTAGAACATGACTAAGGGTACCCATCAAACACATCCACCAGACTGCTCTCAACTAGATATAAGGCCTGTATTTAGCCCCAGACTGAGAATAAATAAGCGAGCCAGCCAAGCCTCCAGGGTCTGTCCAATCTGGCAGAGACACTCTTTTCTACCAGAGTGTTGGTCATTCCTAGAAACTGCATTAGCCCATGCGTAAAGGCACAATGTACAAACTGATCTGGCACCTGGCCTGAAGCTTCCGCACAGTCTCTTCGTCTTGCCGGGCCTGCCTCTCATCCTCAAGTGCCTCCTGCAGCTTTAGATACATGTCTTCCAGCTCCCGTACTCGCTGCAAATACTGTTCCAGTTCAGAGGACTTCTGGGCAACCTGTTCTTCCATCTGCTGTCTGATCTGATGGTAGAAAAGGGTCATGTTTAAACTTGGGTTGACTGCACCCTCAGGGAAAGCCTCCCACTCCACCACCATCCCGAGCAATTGCTGTGCCCATGGTGGCACCCCATCAGGCTGTGCAAGGCCCTGCCCGGCACAGGGAGGCAGCAAGAGCACCACACTCACACCACCACCACACCTGAAGGGCCCAGGACACAAACTGTAACCCAGTGCTGCTCCCCTGCCCCGGAATATTTTCCATCCCTTCCACTCCACATTTTAAAACTCAAGTCAAGAAATAAAGTTTCCCTTTCTATTCCTTTAAATTCCTTTCTATTGTAAACCCATGACCTCTTTACCAAAAGAGTCTTCTCTAAAAGGAATAAATCTTTTCCCAGTCAGAACAGCCAAAGACTTAAAATAAAAGGCTGATCTGCAGCTCCCCAGCCAGCAGTGACCTGGCTTGCTGGCAGCCCTCCTTTCTCCCTCCCTAGGACACCTTCAGCCCTAGGGGAACTCATGCAGCTAAATTTGTGCCCTAATAAATTTATGGTTTCTCCCTTCTGGATCAAAGAGTTTTTACTCTCTGCATTAAAAATTAAAAGACAAGGACCTCCTAAATTTAATAGTACATCCACTAGCATTTGTGTCTGCAGTTCATAAAATATGTTCACTTGCATTAGCTCACTTCATCCTTGTAAGAGTCATGAGATATCATACAACAGTCTCCCTAATATAAAGAAGAGAAAACTCTGCTCAGTAAGGAGCAGAGAGGAAACAAGCGCAATCTTCTGGCTGTGAGTGCAACACTCCTTTACCTGACACCTACCTTCCTCTGGGTGCTTTTCTCTCATAAGATGAACATGTCCATTTCCAACCTAAGTGACAAAAAGTTACTAGAGGAAATGGCATGAGCCTCTGTGTAACAGGCACTGGGCTCAGCACTCTCCCACACATTACAACTCAGCGTGAGAAGACAAGTGTTCCAATTAACCAGCTAACTCCCTCAAGCAACCTGAATCTTCGGTCTCTTGGGGATGGGAACCTCTAAGATGACTCAGAGCTTCCAAGACCGGCAGACTTCAAACCTTCTCATGATTTCAGAACCGCCCCCCCCCCACTTCATTCACAAGAGAAATGTCGTGGAACCTATGCTTATCCCAAAGCTATTTATTTTCCAAGTCAGGATGCTGTGAGGAGGAGGGAGTATGCTGGTAGTAAGTGTACCAAGATGTTGGGGTTGCCTCAGGCAAGCCAGGACACAAAGTCACCTTAGCCACAGTACTTACCACCCTATTCTGTAAATTTCTATTTTAGGGTCTTGAAAGCAGGTCTTTTTTTCTTTTTCCTTTATATCCTTGGCATGGTGCCTGGCACATAGAAGGTGCTCAGCAAACTGATAATGAATGAATGAACGAACAGGACTTCCCCAGTAGCCCACTGTGGGTTAGCAGCAAAGCCACTGCAAGTTAGGAGCAGAGCCAAGCTGACAAGACAGCCTCACTCCCGCCTCCCAGGCCCTCAGCCCTCCACCGACCCAGGATGTCTCTCAACAGCCTCCCCAGCCGTGTGGTACTCACAAGCTTCTCTCGCTCCAACTCTGTGCTGAATCGGACCTGTAGTTCCATTTGAGTCTCAAGACGTTTCTTTTCTTCTTCTGCTGCACGAGATGCTGCTTCCTCCAGTTTCTACCCAATCAAAACCCCACCCAAAGAAAAGAAGGAAATGTTACAGCAGAAGTGCATTTGGAGAAAGAAATGGCTGCACTTAAACATATGGGAGAAGCCAAACATTCTTAATGTTCAATAAAGATAAAATAAGAACTTTTAGATCCATTGGGATATCAACAATTTTTCCAGTCAACACACAAAACAAGTTAAGTAAATGAATGACTACTGATAGTCTGAACAGAATTTTGCAAAGGAAATTTTAGTACAGTCAGTGAGTTAAATTCACTCACAAATGCATTCGTGACATTTGACATGTATTTCTTGAGCTCTTTTTACAGTTTTGTCATGTTACATGTTGTTTCTTAGAACTTTGACCAGAGTGCAAGTGTCAGAAGGGTGGCAATGAGGAGCTCCATGGACCCTATCACCAGTGAAACAACCAGAACTGGAGAAAATTATTTTTAAAAAATAAAAACAACCATTTAAAGTCTCTGGAATTATCTTAAGGACATACAGCAAATGTAGAACATTTGTCCCAGAAAATCTCTACGGCTCAGTAAGAACAGAGTTTATGAGATTGAAATTCTACCAATCAACTTCTCAGACTACAAAGGCATAAAACTAGAAATAAATTGTACAAAGAAAACAAAAAGGCTCACAAACATATGGAGGCTTAACATGCTCCTAAATAATCAATGGATCAATGACCACTTTAAAACAGAGATCAAGCAATATATGGAGATGAATGACAACAACAGCACAAACCCCCAACTTCTGTGAGACGCAGCAAAGACAGTTCTAAGAGGAAAGTATGTAGAAATCCAGACCTACTTAAAGAAGGAAGAACAATCCCAAATGAATAGTCTAAAGAAGAGAGTTTATGACATCTGAGCCAGTGTGCCCCTTTCTCCTCTGTGACAATGTCAGTGAGAAGGAAGCTCTTCTCCTGGCAAGGAACAAAGAACACAGGGCTCCCTCTCACCTCAGCTCACAGTCCAGAGCTAGGGTATCTCCCAAGGAGGGGCAGGTCACCAATATTTCTCATCCTCCCCAGCATCACGTTACAGAAACTCTATCTCAGGCAAGTCTGGCTAAGAGGTCTGGGACTCCCTTCTTCCACCCAGCCCTCACTCACAGGGTGGAGGTTCTACCTCAGGTCTGACAGGCTGAGCACACTGGGCACAACCACCCCTGACCCAACCACTTACAGGGCAGGGCAGAGCTTTGACACCAGGAGAGGCAAGCTAAGAAGACCAAAGGCTACCACCTCCACCTAGTGATAGACTCATAAAGCAGGGGTATCTTGCCAAGAGAAGCAGACCACTGTTTCTACCTCTGGCTCCGAGCACTGGCACAGAGGTTTGCCCAGGGAGAAAGGCAGGTTCTGAAGCTCTTGCCAAAAGAACTGACTTTATTTAAAACACAGTGTGAGGAAATTCAAGCCTGAAGACACTCTTAAAAATAATGATGATTTTGATGGTAAGGAATTAAGAGGAGGCTCATAGCTCCAGGAGACCAACAAACTAAACCAGAAATCAGCTACAAGTTTGACAGAAAGAACCAGGGAGAGACAGCAAAGAGCCCTCATGTAGTAAGAAAAATCTCAAAGACTACATGTGAGAATTTAAATATCAGATTATGGAATACGGGGCAATCTACGCTCCAGGGCATTATTGAAAACAACAGAACAATCAGTTGGAGATATACGATATCAACAGAGACAGACAGCTTAACAGAGCAATCAGAGAGAGGCACTCAGAGAGAACCCTGCTAACATCCCGGTCATCCCAAGGTACGTGCGCACGCCCAAGCTGTGCCCCCAAGGAGGGCGGTTGGAGGCTTCACACGGTGAGGAAGACAGACCCCACTGAAACAGCCCAGCCAAGTCACTAAACAAATAAAAGAGCAAACAGGAAAAACAAGCCCTCAGGGAAAGGGAGGAATCCATTTGAGAGTTGCTACAATACATTATCAATAATGTTGTCCATTTTTCAACAAAATATTATGAGATATGTGAAGAAAGAGGAAAGTGTGACTCACAGGGAAAAAAGCAGGCAAAAGAAACTGTCTTTGAAGGGGCCCGATGGTAGATTTAGCAAAGATTTCAAATAAGTTATATGTTCAAAAAATAAAGGAAATTATGCTTATGGAAGTAATACAAGGTCTGATGATATCTCATCAGATAGAGAATATCAATAAAAAGACAGAAATTATAAAAAGAACCAAATGAAAATTCTCAAGTTGGAAAGTACAACTTAGGTGAAAAGTTCATTAGAGGTTCTCTACATTTGGGCTAAAGAATCAATCAAAGATAAATTGATAGAAATGCAATCTGAAAAACAGAGAGAAAAAGTAATGAAGAGAAATGAACAGAGCCTATTAGGGGCACCAACATTCACGTGAGGAGAGTACTGTGAGAGGAGGGAGGGAAAGGAGAAGAAAAAATGTATGAAGAAATAACAGCTGAAAATTTTCCCAGTTTGATGAAAAATATGAATCTACACATTCAAGAAGTTCAACAAGATGCCCACCCACACATGTCATAGAAATCTGTGGAAAGACAAAGACAAAAAGACCCTGGAAGCAACAAGAGAAAAATGATTCATCACACACAAGGAAACAGCATTTTGTGAATAGGTATGAAATGAAAGAGATGTTACAATTGTAGCACAGAAATACAGAGGATTATAAGAGACTACTATAAACAATTAGACCAACAAATTAGACAGCCTAGAAGAAGTGGATAAATTCCTAGAAACATGAAACCTACCATGACTGAATCAGGAAGAAATACAAAATATGAATAGACCCATTACTAGTAAAGAGACTGAATCAATAATCAAAATTCCAATACCAGATGGCTTCATGGGTAAATTCTACCAAACATTTAAAGGCAACTTAACATTAATCCTCCAACTCTTTGAAAAACATCAGAAGAGGGACCACCACCAAACTCATTTTGTAAGACCAGCATACCCTGATAGAAAGCCCAGATAAGGACACTACAAGGAAAGAAAACTTTTACAGGCCAGTATCCCTGATGAATACAGATTAAAAAATCCTCAACAAAATATTAGCAAACCAAAGTCAACAGTACATTAAAAGGGTCATACACCATGATCAAGTGGGATTTATTCCTTTTTATATTTTTAAATTTTGAACCATGTGATTGTATTACCTATACTAATTATATTTTTTTTTACAAGAAACTAAAGTGGAAATAAAAATTATTTGGGGAGGAGAGATGACTAGATAGAACACAGAGGATTTTTAGGGCAGTGAAAATACTCTGAATGATGCTGTAATGACAAATACTATGTCAGTGTACAGACCCACAGAATATAGAACACCAAGAGTGAACCCTAAAGTAAACTATGGACTTAGGGTGATTATGACGTCAGTCAGGGTATATAGGAAATCTCTATGCCTTCCTCTTAATTTTATTGTGAACCTAAAATTGCTTTAAAAATTTTTTTGTTTTTTTATAAATTACTTGGATAAACCCTTTAAAGAAATCTGTTAATTTATGAAAACTACCATGATTTCTTATTCCTTCTTTTGAATTAAATGAGGCCTACCAAGTCTTACAAAACCCACAAGTATGTTACCTAGTTCCAGGTGATTAAAATATTCATCTAAACGGTGTTTTCCTTTAATGAGAAATTGGAGGATTTTATTTCTTGACAAGAAAAAGAAAATTAAAGATTATTAAGGGATCTGTAATAATTTCCCAACACTTACCATCAAATCCCAAATCAGTTGCTTAAATCATTCTGTAAAACTTGGTAGTGGGGAAGCTGTGTAGGTAGGCCTAGGCCTTGCCAACTCCAAGCACATGGTCATATAACACAAAACAGAGTACCTACACACTCCTGGCAGGCACAGTTTAAAAGGTCTAAGAATGTAAAAGGACACCAGATGGATGAATCTCAAATACATGATGCTAAGTGAAAAATCCCAGTCTTGAAAATTTATATACTGTATGAATCCATTTATACAACAATTTGGAAATGGCAAAAATATAGGAGCAGAGAATAGATCAATGGTTTCCAGGGATTAGGGGTAAGGAGAAGATCAGAATGCATGGGGCAGTGTGAGGGAATTCTTGGGAGCATTGGAATTGTTCTGATTCTGTCTGTGGTGGTTATAAGAATTTACTGTTTGCAAATTTTTTAAAAATTAAAAAAACAGGATGGACACCAGAGCTTAAAAAATATTGGCAATATTCTACCTTAACCTGGGTAGTAGTTTCAAGAGTATTCATTTTATGATTATTTGTATACACATATTTCATACTTTCCTCTGACATATGACCTATTTCATAATTTTTAAAAATTATAAAAAAAGGACAAGGCCAGATGCCTGCTTCACACTCATAACCCCCAGTTCTGCTTTGTGCACAATGGCTGAAGGAAGCAGTGATCGCCTACTGCAGGTGCTCATCCTAGCCTACTTAGGGAGCTTTTAAAGAAAACATATCAAAGCAGAAAGAGGCTAGATGAAAGAACGATTCAGGGGGGAGAGGAGATGCTTTTAGAAGTAGGTGTGCCAGACAGGAACAACTATTTCTACGAATGTATGCCCACATGGTTCCTAAGATTACAAAAATATAAAAAATTCTTTATTTGTGAGTCTACTCAGAGGGTCAGCACAGTGTGGCATTTCCATGGGATGCAAATGGAGAAAACCCCATCAGGGGCCTTATACTATGTGCAAACTCCATATCCCAGGCAAACGTGATCAGGGGACACATAAGGGCGCTGAGCTTGTGGTTAGCAGGTGCTGACAGGCAGAGGCTCACCCCAGAGGGGTCAGACAAACACCACACCCATACACTGGGGACTCACGGCCACCCCCAGAACTGTGATACACCTGAGGAACAGGGTTTCCCAATACATGTCAACTATCCTATGCGATCTATGGTACTTAACCTCCTGGCACTGAGATGGAAGGAGAAGCTGACCCAGTCTGTATCTCTGACTCCAAAGAGTAAGTAAAACTCACAGTTCTAAACTAAGGGTCTTCCAGAGTACTCATGTGTGAAGACGGGGAAAAACTAAGGGGAAAAAAACTAAAAAAGCAACAAGACACTGCCCAAGCCACCAAATGTAATCATGACATCCTTAGGGGAATAAAACTTCCCATCTTCCTCTGACAAAATACAACCGTACTCAGTGTCCTTATAAATGTTCTTTTCTGGTCAATATAATGGCCTTGCAGCCCTGAGACTTTCATACTTTCAAGGCTTGGAAAATCAGGGTGTCTCACTCAGTGGTCTAGACAGACTTACTGAGAACACAGTTCACCACCAAGAAAATCTCCCTAAAAACTACATTAACCTGGTCTTGGTAGACCCAAAGCTTATAAGGAAAGCAGCTATGTCCCCTGCACTGAAATGAAGAGCTCTCCCCCAGCCCAGCATCTGTTCCCACCTTCCTCACGGACTCCAGCTCCTGCTGCCTGCTCTCATTGGCAGCCTGCAGCTCCTTCATCTGCCGCTCCAGCTCCTCCTGCTCAGCCAGCAGCTTCTTCCGCAGTTCTTTCCGACGCTGGCGGGCTTCTTTGTGTGGTGAGGGACTGCCCAGTCTCAAAAGATGGATAGCAGAATGAATGGCTATAAAAGGTATAGAAGGAAAAATGGGAAATACTCTTTATCCTTTGTAAGCCTAACATGCAAATAGTATACTGGAAAGAAAACCAGAAACCCAGTGTGGATTCGAATCCTGCCACTGAGTAGTGGTGGACCTCAAGCAAACCACAGAACCTCTGGCAGCATTGGTTTCCTCATCTCAAGAATGAGAGAGATGATCTCTAAAGTCCCTACCAGCTCCAAAATTCCATAACTGCATATCTGTGCTTAAACAGATACTTTGTTCGGGAATACTGCACTCATTTGAAGAATTCACAGCACTTTCAACTCCCTTCTCTATATTCTCAAAAGTCCAAATAAGAATAAGACATAGTAGGAGTTGAGAATGATAACAGCAGCCACCATTTATTAAATACTGCTATATTCCCTTTATATGCATTATCCAATTTATATGAAATCTGATTTCTTTTTTCATTATATTTAAATATAAGTTTTTGAATAGCTAATACTTTTATATTGTTCAAATTCAAAAGCATACAGGAAAAGTCTTCTTCCTCCTCCCAATCCCAAGTACTGGGTCCCATCCCCACTAGCGACTAAGGCTAGCAGCATCTTTCCTGAGATATTTTAAGCATATACAAATAAATAAATATATACATCCTTCACCTACTTTTGACACAAATAGTGGCATTACACACTCTTCTGAGCCTGGGTTTTTTAACTTAAATCTTGGAGAACTTTCCATATCAGTACATGAAGCCCTATACATAAAGAACTGCACAGGACTCCAGTGTGTAGATGCACCATAATTTGGTCAATCATTTTCCAATTAATGGACATTTAGGTTGTTTGCAATCTATTACAAACATTTTTGCAATGATGTGTCATTTTTTAAATGTGCAAGTATATCCACATTATTAACCCTCACAACAACCCTGAGAGGTATGTATTATTATTATCCCCATTCCATGAAGATGAAAGCAGCTACGGAATTTATAACTCAACTGCAGTGACCCAGGAAAGAGGATTCTTTTGAGTAAAGTACTCAAACTCTTAAACCACATCAAAAAGGACCACAATTTTCAATATAACATAATTTTACCTATGTCAAAAAAAATCATGTTCAGAATGCCCTTTCATGAGTTAAAAAATATCTCATATATAGTATTTAATTCTTTACTAATTTTAGAATAATACTTTAGTTTAAAAGTTATTAAATTAAGGTTTGTGTTCTTGAGATAATTAATTGAAACTACTGATTTCTTATGGAAATAACAGATTTTGAAAATTACCTAAAGTATTTAAAAGCTATTGCATTACTTCTGCTTTGTTTCACATATTACTAAAACCTCAAGATGGCCACTTTAAAATTCTTCATAATCCTTAAAAGGGAAAATTCCATTCTCTTCAAATAGCAAGAGTAAATAAAACCTAAAATGTCCACTTTACAATTTTTTCACAAGTTCATTATGCAAATTAAATTGATGAAATATTTGCAAACTCCTGATATGTTTGCCTTTCAGCTACTATGCACATGCAGAAAAACCTATAGACAATGAAGAAACAGTGTCTTAATATCTTTAATGAGAGTCAAAAAGAGAAAAGTCAGCGCTCTCAAGTTTATCATGACAAATAATGAAAACTGCCTTACCCTGAATCCACTCCTGTTTCTTCTTTTTATCAGAAGCACTGATTTCAAAAGACTTATCAAAACATTTTACAAGAAAAAGGCATTTCTTTCCATCTTTGTCTGGCAACGACTAAAAAAGAAAGCACTATTAGTTCTTGAAAATTTTCTTTAAAGTACTTAAATTCAATCTTAATTAATTATATAAGTCTTGCTGAAACTCAGTGTCACACCCTAAGACATTACTATACCATTTTGACCATCAAAATATGTTATTATTTATGAGTGTGATCTTAGGTATTTTAAATGTTCTTCAACAAATACAGATGTGGAGATAGTTCAGATATAAATTAGAACCTCAAACATTTATGTTCTGGAGGACTTCACTTCTTCACAGAATGACAGCTCTGAGTATTGTCCTCAAAAGTCACCCAAATAAATATTCAAAGGTAATGCTCATATCTTCTTTAGTTGTACTTATTGCACTCTAAATGGCTCAGATTTTCTGGTATATTCATGATTTCCAACAGTGTCTTACTGAATAATTTTTGCTTTATTTTCTTTTTTATGATTCTATTTTACTCAATAAATGATTCCTTAAAAGTACAAATAAATGAGATTTATTACTATATTTTGCTCATGAGTATAAGACAGAAAATAAATTCACATTAGAGATTTTGTCAAGTATTTTTAATTTTTGGTTCATAAATTATGGTGACTGTATGCCTATATTATTTTGGAAATAATTCTAAGACCATTTTAAACTCTAGAAGTCTAAAGTCTAGGAGATAAATGACTCTAGCAGAAGGAGGCAGCACCAGAAAGATGTAATAGCAGACTTACCTCTACACAGCAGTTTCCATCCAAGAAAATGTCACCTTTCTTATCTTTCAGATCCTCACTCACATAATAAGAAATTATGTTGGGTTTTAGTACAAACCAGCGTTCAGTCCAGTTTTTCCGCTTATGGCCTTTTTTCATCATGTAACCCTAGAAAAGATTAAATCTGATATAAATGTCTATTTATAAGAGCTGATAGCTCTTCCTTGAATACATGTATATAGCAGCAGTTCTTGCCCTTCATGGATCGTGAACCCTATGAGGATCTATGAAGGCCAGGGGCACTATTCCCAGTCAAATTCATGCAAGCACAAACAAGCAAAAGTTTACTAAGAATTTAGACATTGAGAGATAAACTCCCTCCCAGCCAAAGCTATAATACTGATGGTAGTCTTGGAACCCTTGATGTTAAGAGCATTAAGTTTTTTTTTAATTCATTATCTTTTAGGGACACTTTATAGATAAAATGAAATGTTTTGAATTTTTTCAAGGTAATACGGGAGAGGCAAAAGTAGATGGGGTAAGACTAACAATTTGTTTGATGGTTACTAGGGCTGAGTGATTAGTATATGGGAGTTTATCATAATATTCTGTTCCGTTTTCTTTAAAAAGTCTCAGTAGATCAATCAGTCAGAATGATAAAAGGTATCAACCAGGACAAATATAGCTTCTCAACCAATCAGTCACCTTCTGGAACTAACCTCCTTTTCTTCCTGACCTCTCCATATTTTGGAGGATGAACTCTGCTCCAGATGATCAGAAAAAGAACTAGACCAGTAGTTAGGATACTGGCTTTAAGTATAACTTCTATATTCACACTTAGTAGGCCTGTACTTCATTCCCACAGATCAGACTCAAAGTTGTGTAATTCAAAATTTTACTTGAGCAAAATTATACATTACTATAGGCCAAAACCCTTGAGAATTATTCAAGAATAGCTGGCATTTTAAATATTAAAGGTACAGGTACTAACAACCTACAGTATATATATATCATCAAATATATGATATTAGCTTGGCTGTAACTATCATTTTATTATGCTAAATTCTAATCATATTACTTGTTCAGTTTCTTAACCCTCGGACATTTAAGCAAAAGGTTTGCCACACGGAAATTTATCTATAGTACTATATTCTGCTGGGCCTAGAAGACCTCTTTAAACAGAGACCATGTCTCAAACCTCCTTATAGTCCTGAAAACCTACAAATTTAGTCTCAGTTAATCTTTACTTAGGAATGTTTCCATTAGGAAAAAATAGCAAAGACAACAGTGTCTTCTACTGGGCCAAGAAAGGAACAAAGTAAGGAAATCCCAAATTGGGAGTTATTATCCAAAGTAATAATGTGAGCAATTTGAAAGATCCACTAAAAAATGTAAATTCAACTTAACAAGCATTAAGCTTCCCATATGTATATCAGATGCTTTGCAGGTGGTAAGAAAAAAACCATCAAAATTAAATAAGATAAATGCAACTTGGCTATATTATAGCATTTTTTCCCCTAAAGGGTATCTTTTGATTTTATAAAAATAATATATAATCATATACATAGATTCATGTACAGAATCATATATTGTAGTAAGTCCAATAATAAGACAGGAATAAAGAAAGTAAAATTTATGTAAATCCCACAATCCAGGGGCTACTACCACTTTTAACACTTCAGTGAGCATTCTTCCAAACAGCTCTACACACACACATCATGTAACATGAAAGGAATTACAAGATATTTGCTGCTCAACAATCTTTTTCTCTGAAAAATACACCATGGGGATCTTCCAGATTAATGACATGGAAGTACTTTAAAAATCAGTTCCCACACAGAAAGGCCTTCTTTACTGTATTCAAAGCTGATTTTATAATGTTCAAATTGTTCTTGCTGCCAACAGCCTCCCATAGCTTCTGTAAGTTTCTTAAGCAGGTATTCAATCTACACAAAGAATTTAAAAATTATTTCCTAGTAAAAAAATAACTTTTTGACTTAGGTATGTATCTATGTTATTTACACTGATAAGGTCAATTAAAAAATATTCTTTTTTAGTTCCATATATACATGACATGGAAGTACTTTAAAAATAGTTTGAAAATGGGATCATTTCAACAGTTCTTTCAAAATAGTAACTTTCCAATACTTACTGTAATTCCAAATTACCCACTAATTCTTTAAAATGAAAGCCTAATAGAAGAATGGGAAAATAAGNTTTCAAACATGTCAAATTCTAAAGGTGAGAAGAAATAGTGATACAGGACTCTTACCTGTTTTAACACGTCCAATATAAGTTCATTAAAGACTTCATTAATGGCCATGGACACTGTCTGCTGATCCATGTCTTTGCTAAACTGTCCATTTCCAATCAGCTCAATCAGTTCCCACACAGAAAGGCCTTCTTTACTGTATTCAAAGCTGATTTTATAATGTTCAAATTGTTCTTGCTGCCAACAGCCTCCCATAGCTTCTGTAAGTTTCTTAAGCAGGTATTCAATCTACACAAAGAATTTAAAAATTATTTCCTAGTAAAAAAATAACTTTTTGACTTAGGTATGTATCTATGTTATTTACACTGATAAGGTCAATTAAAAAATATTCTTTTTTAGTTCCAAAAGCGTATCTTTAAAGAATCAGCGTGAGAGGCAAGACAGAAACCTCTTCCCAAAATCACATATAATATGAAAATATAGAAAATACATCCAATCCTGAAAGAGCAACAGGAAAGAAGGCTGTGGCAGACTGCCTACACCTGGGGAAAACAACAGACCTCAAGGAAAAGGGTAAAGTCCCAAAGCTGTCATTTGGAGGGACCCACGCCCTTCCCCCACCCCAGCTCACAAGAGGGAGGAAGAGAAAAATAGTGGGGAGGGGGTGGAGGCATAGGATTGCTGAAAATCCAGCCCTCGAGCTCTGCTCTGTGAACACAAACCTACATTACATGGTGTTCTGGAGATTAGTGGGGTTGGGAAGCTAAGACTGGCAGAATACTTAAAGACTGAGATTCCAGCTGCTTGTGGAAAACACGTATCCACAACCAGCCACTCTGGAACAAAAGGGCGGGCAGTCTGAGAGTCTTCCTAACAGTGAGAGGGCTGCTAATGGGGCAAGGATTGCACAGAGCTTGCTGCTCAGGAGGAAGGACAGGTGGACAAAATTATCTGGGCACACTCTGCCCAGCAGGTTGGGAACTTTCAGGAGCTTCAGGTGCTACATCTCCCTGGCTGGCTACGCAGCTACAAGGCCCCACACAATGATAAGCAGCCTGTGTTCCTTCCTCCCAATCTGCACCAGTTCGCAAACAGGCTGCCCCTGCCATTGCACCAGGCCAGACAGAGGGCGGTGCCACCTACAGCAGCTACAAGTGTAAAGCACACAAGACTCTCCCTACCTGCTTGGCCCACTGGCCCTGAATGCAGAGCCAAGTACTGCAGCCAGGAAGCAAGAAAGAACCCTTTCCTCCCGACAGGCACCAGCGCCACTTGCCTACAAACCCCATCACTGCTTCAGAGCCTAAGGAGCTCCAAAGAGTAGAGTTTCTGGGTGCTAGAAGGTGCTACCTACAAATATGAAAAGTCAAAGGAATCTGGTTCAAACCAAAATTCCACAAACGCCAGAAAGAGTGTCAAATGAAACTGAACTCATCAATCTTCCTGAAAGAGATTTCAAAATAAAAATCATTAACATACTCATGGAGCTTCAGAAAAATATTCAAGAACTCAGGGAGGAATTCTTGAATGAGATACAAACATTAAAGTATTCAGTATCTGAAATAAAACATATAATGGAAGGATTTAAAAGCAGATTAGAAGAAGTAGAGCAGAGTAAATGAAACAGAAATCAGAGAAGAGGAATACAAAGAAGCTGAGGCACAGAGAGAAAAAAGATCTCTAGGAATGAAAGAATATTGAGAGAAATGTGTGACTAATCCAAATGAACAATATTCATATTATAGGGGTACCAGAAGAAGAAGAGAGAGAAAAGAGGATAGTAAGTATCTTTGAGGTTATTGTTGAAAACTCCCCAAATCTGGGGAAGGAGATAGTCTCTCAGGCCATGGAGGTGCACAGATCTCCCAACACAAGGGACCCAAGGAAGACAACACCAAGACATATAATAATTAAAATGGCAAGTATCAAGGATAAGAACAGGCTATTAAAAGCAGCCAGAGAAAAAAGATCACATACAAAGGAAAACCCATCAGGTTATCATCAGACTTCGCTGTAACAGAAACCTTAGAGGCCAGAAGGGAGTGGCTTGGTATATTTAATGCAATGAAGAAGGGCCTCAAACCAAGAACACTCTACCCAGCAACATTATCATTTAAATTTAAAGGAGAGATTAAACAATTTCCAGATAAGAAAAGGCTGAGAGAATTTACCACCCACAAACCATCTCTATAGTCTATTTTCGAGGGACTGTTATAGATGGAAGTGTTCCTAAGGCTAAATGGCTGTTACCAGAGGAAATAAAACCACAGTAAAGAAAGTATACCAATTAATTACTATGCAGATTCAAAATCAAATCAACTACCCCAAAGTTAATCAAGGGATAGAAAAAGAGTACAGAATATGATATGTAATATATAAAGAATGGAGGAGGAAGAAAAAGGAGGGAAAAAAAGAACCTTTAGGTTCTGTTTGTAATAGCATATTAAGTGAATTATATTAGACTGTTAGATAGTAAGGGAATTACCCCTGAACCTTTTGTAACCATGAATCTAAAGACTGCAATGGCAATAAGTACATACCTATTGATAATCACCCTAAATGTAAATGGTCTGAATGCACCAATCAAAAGACATAGAGTCACTGAATGGATAAAAAAACAAGACCCATTTATATGCTGCCTACAAGAGACTCACTTCAAATCCAAAGACATACACAGACTAAAAGTGAAGGGATGGAAAAAGATATTCATGCAAACAATAAGGAGAAAAAAACAGGAGTTGCAATACTTGTATCAGACAAAATAGACTTCACAACAAAGAAAGTAACAAAAGACAAAGAAGAATATTACATATTATAAATGGGTCAGTCCAACAAGATGATATAACCAATATAAATATCAAATATCTCTAGGAACACCTACATATGTGAAAGAAATACTAACAGAATTAAAGGGGGAAATAGAATGCAAAGCTTTCATTTTAGAAAACGTCAACACACCACTCACTCCAAAAGAAAGATCAACCAGACAGAAAGTAAGTAAGGAGACAGAGAGGCACAGAACAACATATTAGAACAGAGGGACCTAATAGACATCTAGAGAATACCTGACCTGAAAGCAGCAGGATACACATTCTTCTCAAATGCACCTGGAACATTTTCAAGGATAGACCATATACTAGGCCATGAAAAGAGCCTCAGTAAATTCAAAAAGACTAAAATTATACCAATCAGCTTCTCAGAACACAAAGGTATGAAACTAGAAATAAATTATGCAGAGTAAACAAAAAAGCCTACAAACACATGGAGGCTTAACAACATGCTCCTAAATAATCAATGCATCAATAACCAAATGAAAACAGAGATCAAGCAATATATGAAGACAAATATCAACAATAACTCAACACCACAAAATCTGTGGGATGCAGTGAAGGCTGTGCAAAGAGGGAAGTGTATTGCAATACAAGCCTAGCTCAGGAAAGAAGAACAATCCCATATGAACAGCCTAAACTCACAATTAATGAAACTAGGAAGAGAAGAACAAATGAGGCCCAAAGTCAGTACAAGGAGGGACATAATAAAGATAAGAGCAGAAATCAATAAAGTTGAGAGAATAAAACAATAGAAGGAATCGATGAAAGCAGGAGCTGGTTCTGCATGAAAATAAACAAAATAAGATAAACCCCTAGCCAGACTAACCAAGAAAAAAAGAGTCTACACACACGAACAATCAGAAATGAGAAAGGAAAAAATTGCTAAGGACATCACAGAATACTATGAAAAATTACATGCTAACAAACTGGATAACCTAGAAGAAATGAAGAACTTTCTAGAAAAATGCAACCTTCCAAGCCTGACCCAGGAAGAAACAGAAAATCTGAAGAGACCAATTACCAGCAATGAAATTGAATGGTAATCAAAAAGCTACCTAAGAACAAAAACCCTGGTCCAGACTGCTTCACTGCTGCATTTTATCAAACATTTAGTGAAGACCTAACATCCATCCTCCTTAAGGTTTTCCTAAAAGTAGAAGAGGAGGAAATACTTCCAAACTCATTCTATGAGGCCAGCATCACTCTAATACCAAAACCAGGCAAAGACACCACAAAAAAAGAAAATTACACACCAATATCCCTGATGAACACAGATGTAAAAATACTCAACAAAATATTAGCAAATCGAATTCAAAAATACATCAAGAGGACCATAGATCAGGTAGGATTTATTACAGGGATGCAAGGATGGTACAATATTCAAAAATCCATCAACATCAATCCAGCAGATAAGCACCACATCAACAAAAAGAAGGGCAAAAACCACATGACCATCTCCATAGATGCTGAAAAGCATTCAACAAAATTCAACATCTGACAGAGATTAAAGATGGTGGCATGAAAGGTGAGACAGAGGCTTCCACCTAAAACTGCATATACTACGAAAATATAATTAATACAACTAACCCTGAGAGAGCAACAGTAAAGAGGACTGCACCAGACTGCATACACCTGGAAAAAAGAGCAGACCTCACGGAACAGGGTAACGCACCAAAGCTATGGCCCAGTGGGACCCAAGCCCTTCCCCCACCCCAGCTCACTAATGGGAGGAAGAGAAACTGAGCAGGGAGGGAGTGGAAGCCTGGGACTGCTGAATACCTAGCTCTGGAGATCTGCTCTGGGAGCACAAACCTACATTTCATGGTGCTTTCATCATACTCTTGTGATTACGGGATTGCAAAGCTGGGAAAGGTGGGGTTCCTGGGGAGACTGGAATTCCAGCCGCTTGTGGAAAGCAGGGATCCATATCTGGCTGCTCTGGGACAAATGCTTCTACCTGTATGCTTGGCCCACTGGTTCAGGCAGTGGAGGCCGGCATACCAGCCGGAAAGCAGGAAACAGCTCTTTCCTCCCTCCAGTCACCAATACCACTCCCCTATGATCACCAACATTGCTTCGGTGAGCAGCTCCAGAGAGTAGAGCTTCTGGACACTAGAGGGCACCATATACAAACATGAAATGCCAAAGGAACCTGGTCCAGAGTAAAATTATTAATACAAATCCCGAGAAAGATTTAAATGACATGAACCTCATGACTCTTCCTGAACGGGAAATAAAAATAAAAATCATTAACATGCTACTGGAGGTATGGAAAGATATTCAAGAACTCAGGAATTAATTCTGGTCAGAGATCCAATCCTTGAAGAACACAATGGAGGGTATTAAAAGCAAGTTGGATAAGGTGGAGGAGAGAATAAATGAAATAGAAAACAGAGAAGAGAAATACAAAGAAGCTGAGGCACAGAGAGAAAAAAGGATCTCAAAAAAATGAAAGAA